CTATATGTAAGATGCACTGGATGGTACTGAGGGCTACCAGTTTTTCTCCACTGACCACAGAGGGTGCCTAGACTGACTTAGGGTTGAGCACATAGTCATGACCACAGCTCATGTTGAGGGTATCCCAGTCCATGGGCTTGTGCCTAGCCTTTTTTTTTGTTCTTCCATTCCACGCCTTGACAATGATATTTTTCTTCTTTTTCTGGGTAGCATATTCCTGTCACTCTGGTGCCCTGGTCTTAGCCAAAGTATTCTTACCCCTCTGTCTCCAGAATATGAAATGGGGATGAAATTATTGACTATGGCCATGGAGGGCACAAGGGACTGAGGGGAATTCAGCTTCTGAAGATGAGAGTCCTGTGATGTGACAGTTTGGGACAATCCCTTGCTGAAGGAGGAGGATGCATGGGACTCAGCAGGATGGTATAGGCAGATGTGGCCCTACACCCTGCAGCCAGTCAGAGCTCAGGGATGTCAGGACCCAGGGACAGCTTCAGGCTTGTGTGTAACCTTAAATTTTAGTTTCTGTAGCGTGTAGCAGCCAAGACCATTGGGCCTAAATGATAGTATAGCAATGTGCTGAACTCTGTCCTTGTTAGAGGATGCTTGTCAATCCTGGGGGAGGGTTTGGGGTGTGCGTGTGTTGTGCATACACATGCAGATGCATCCCACGGAGACCAGCACGTCCATTCTTCATTTCATCCTGGCAGTCGCAACGTCTTGTTCAGGCATATTTGACAAAGTGGAAGTAGTTGCTGTGGTGCATCGCATGTCAGCTGTTTGTTTAGGATCTGGCAAAACGGATCTGGGGGTCACTGAGAGTGTGTAAGGCTCCCTATAAACCTGTTATGGGAAAAGCTCATTGGCCAAGATCGGGAACTTGCTGGATGGTCCCAGGTGCAGGGCAGCCTTCCTGTCTCTTCCCACCCAAGGCATGTGAGATGTGTTTCTAAAACACACTGCTGAGCTTCCTGTCAGGGCTGTGATGTGAAAGGTAAACCTATCATTCCGTTAAAAGAACATCTTGGAGAAAAAAAAAAAAAAGCTTGTTAAACTGACTAATTTTTTTATCAGCTGAGTGTGTGATCGTGTAGATTTCTAAGACAGTGGATGTGACAAATGATTCCCCTGACAGCCCATAGCACAATTTTCCAGGAGGGAGAGCAAGCACCCAATTCGAGACGGTGCTGGAGGTGATCTCCAGCCGGGGCTGGAATGGGTCCCATTCCGGCTACCTCAGCTGGAGTGGTGGATCCAGCATCTCCTTGGGATGTGGTCCTTGCCCTCTGTGGATTCCTGGTGGTCAGATGACCACCTTGAGGGGGCAGCCCACAAAACTGTCACCAACCCTGGCTGTTTGCTGTCAGCCTGTGCTTCCTGCCAGCTCCAGGGACAAGTATCACCCCTCCCAGTGTCCTGGGGAGATGTGGAAAGAGGAGAGGGGGGATGAAGTGCAATAAAATATAAAATCAAGTGGCTCCCAACACCCCCAGCTTAAGCTTGGTATAAACTAAACCAGGTGAGGCAGTTTCAGGCCAGTTCCACACTAGAGAGTTTTGCTGACAGAGGAGGGATGTGATTTTTTTTTTCTTTTTTTTTAATGATACATTTATATTAGCAAAAGGACTGGTGAAAATACAGTTACCCTGCTATAGGAGTGCTTTTGCTGATACAGGTCATTTTAGACAGAGGAAGCTGTATAAAGTACAATATAGCAGACACTTGAAGTATTTACCGCATATAAACTTTCCAGACAAAGTCTTTTAGGAAATGTGTTCCCAGCTTGTTCCCACACCTCTGCCCCCATCCTAAAAGGTCTCCTGTTTTCCAGGGCAGCTGTTCACACTCTCCAGAGTAATTTTCCTCAAATATCTGCACAAGTTAGGCTTTTGACTCAACTCTTTCTTTAAGATATTGTGTAGCCCTGGACTAAAAGGAAAAAGAAATGCAGGAAGTTCTGCAGACCCACAGTGACTGCTCTCTGCAGGGGGCTTTTTGACTATTTAGTCCATTCTTTGACATTAAAGGATTAAAGTTTCTCAAATCTTTTATAAAAAGATTTGACAAAACACAGGCAAAACACCTTTTTTTTTTTTGTGGGGGAAAAAATCTTTGGGGGATTATAGAGGTTCCCCAGATGCAATTCTTGGGCTCATACTCACTTCACTGATCTTAATCGCCAGTGTCATTTTTATTTCCCAGATGTATCCATCCAGAAAATGAGCCCTTGCGATGTCCAAAGCTGCTTCTCTTGAGGTGGGGACAACCTACTCAGGGTTAGCAGGGGCTTCATGCATCACTGAAGCTTGACTTCTGTGTTGCCAGCAAAAAGACCTCAGAGTCCCTTCGTTAAGTAATCAGTTCATTGTGAAGTAGGCAGATTCCTTGTTTTCAGCTTTCCTATTGGAAAGCAATCCCACAGTTTCTCTCATGGGTGCTTAAAAGTCTTCTTTTGATCCGTCTTTCTCATTTCTCCCCTATCAAAAATATGTATGTAGCCTCAACATATTTTTTTTTCTAACATTTTAGTAGTCTAACTGAACGCAACATAACTCCATTTTCTAGGGGCAGTATACCTCTAGCTCATGTGGATAACTCCACTGCAGGACTGAAAGCTTCTAATATCCTCACTTGATAACCACTGCATGAAAAATTATCCTCATCCAAGGCTATAAAATAATTTGCCAATTTGCAGGTGCATCTTGGAGAAGGGAATTTTGATCAAACAGATTGCCTACACCACCAATTTCTTGGTGAACAAAACTGACATAAATCGCCCAATTAGTCAGCTGGAAAAGGGTTGTTGCAAACCAATGTTTTGTTCAGCTTTAGGTTCATGTGCATTAAAAATAAATAAATAAAAATCAAAGCATTTATTTATTTATTTACATATATTTATTCAAATTGGTTGCATCTGCTCTGTAAACTGCTCTGAAAAAAAGCTCTTGGTTCACACATTTACATAGTGTTTAATGAATGATAAGACATTTATGAACCATGTGCAAATGCCCTGTTTAAATACACGATGTAAACTATGTAAATTTCTTTTTCTTATTTTTTAATGATGTAGTAATACTAGCCATGTTGCTTTTAGCATACACCCAATCTAGGAGCATCACTTGGAGCCCTCAGAAATCTTTATAACAACTCAGTGGTCATTGATTTACTCTCTATTTTCACTAAAATATTCTCAAGGGGTTGCTTTCCTTCAGCTTCTTCACAGAAGCTCTCTATACTTGGTATAAGTCCAAGTATGAAAAGCCTTCTTTATTTAAAATACAAATATCTACCTGCAGACCACATTGTGCTTTCACATAAAATAGCACCTCCTTGAGCTGTCTCAGAGACTAGTGTTCATATAAGTTAACTTTCTGTTTTAAAAAGCAATATATGTTGCAAAAGCTTCTG